CTTTAAAAGGCTTGGCAACTTATGTCAAGCAGCAACAGAGGACAAAGGTCGTAATTAGAAGAGATAATTGTTTGATTTACTTCTTTATTTATTATTCTATGTTTTAAGAAAAATAAATTTAAGAACTTATTTCTAAATAGTAATAATCTATATACATATATAATGTACAATACTTAAAATGTGACTGTATTTTACAAAATACTAGTCTACTAAAACACAACCAAGACAGGTCACTTTGTAAAGACTAAAAGTCAGTTTTATGTTATTGGATATGGTAACATGAGTGCACACATGCCATGTCATTGTAACTTCTGTATTGTTAGCCAGGCATGGCTGAAAGGTCAATATAACAAAAATAATAAATATATATAAATGCATAATGTTATCAGATTTAAGCTATTTAGTCTAAGCATTTATGTTTTCGTGTTATAATCTGTGTTCATTCTAGAATGAAAGAGGCATAATTTATATTTATTTCCTAATTTTTATGGTGGTTATGAGCTCTGTCAAATCTCACCTGTACAGAGAATCGGTACTAAAAATAACAGATAAAATATAAAGTTTTTTCTTAAGAAATGTTTGATAACTATCTGTACATTATAAAGATTTCGCATGTGAAATTTGAAAATATTTTTATGCATGTTTGTGTGTTGAAAAAGCAACATGAGAAAAGAAAAAAAGGCATGAGAAAAATATTACTTTACAAACCTTAAGACTTAAGAAAAAAAATTGATATTTTGCATATGAAAGTATTGTAATGTTTAATGGTAAACTGCCAAATATTGTTAACATATGCTTACTAACTTAAAAGTTATAACATAAAAACTATAACAAGCACAAAATGGTTAAGAGGTCAGTCCCAGGGACCAAGCCCATGCTGAAAGAGTTAACTTACTATGTAGGTTTAAGGTATTAATTTAAATATGAGATATACATATATATATATATATATATTTACAGAGACACAATATCATTCATAGTTATTTAAGGTGAAGGTGTTAATTTAAATGTGAGATATACATACATATTTACAAAGACATGATATCATTGACAGTGCCTGTTTAACTTACTATGTAAATTACAGATGTAATTTTAAATCCCAGTGCAATATATATATATATTTACAACTATATCTTGACATTGTAATATTTTGTTTAGTTAACTTACTATGTGGGTTTACAAGTGCCTGGAGAAAATATGAGAACAATCGGTAACCACACAGAACGATAAGAGAAAGCAGGTTGAGGTGTGACACCAGGACCCACGGGCATGCCTGCAACTAAGGCTGGTGGTTGACCTTGGGTCATTGAAACTGGTGGATTTTGGGAGTTGAAGGTTGACACCTGACTACTAGATGATGGACTTAGAAACAGGCTTTGTATGTAGGACCCAAGAGCATTTACTATGTCTTGTAAAATTTTGGTACTGTGTGGCTTCATGTCATATGACTCACAGAAAGACCTAAATAGAAGGGAACTTGTGTTACACAAAAAAGTTTCCCCAACCTACTGTTTGTCATGTACAATATTAGATCTTTATTCCATGTGATCATTTGCATGTAGACATAACAAAACATAAAATAATCTCCTTAAGCCTACTGTTTAATACATATAACTACTTTATTCCAAATAGTTCACTTTCACATAGCTGTAAAGAACATAAAACACCATCAAGTTATGATTAGTAACAATTTAACAAAATCTAAGTTAAATAATTTTAGATAAAATTTAAGATGGAGAAGAACAGGAAACAAATGGAATATCTAAGCCACAACATCACTCCTATTTGAAAATTAAAAAAGGATGGGTCGAAACAACACAAGGTTCTAAAAATTATACCATATTTAAATATTCTGTGGGTAGACTTAAAAGGTTAAATATTAGCTTTAATAACTGTTAATGAGAATAAATTCTTCATTTAGATTATTTTTGGAAATAGTCTTATGAGTAATAAATGTTGTACATTACTTACTAACTCAAGTTTATTAATACAGTTTATGGAAGGAAGCCAATGAACTTAATAATGAAGAACTAACTTACTTTAGAAGCTCATGTTGGACACACATCTTATGCAACACCTCAAGTGCTAATGCTCTCTGCCATTGTGGTTTATCTCCATCCAGGAATTTAACAACCAAAGACAGAAAAATTTCACATTCAGTCACCTGCAAAATAATGTACAATAATATTATTATATCCAGACTATACTAAAACATAATAATATAAACTGATGTAGAAATAACTGAGTGATAATATTATTATTGTATCTAAACAATCTTTAACCATCAAATTATAATGATTAAAAGAAGTATAAGGAAAAATATTTATTGTTAAATAAAAAAAAGCTATGTAGGACTGGCTATTGAACTTGAAAAAGGAACCAAACAAGATATGGATGGAAGTGAACATATCACTTGATCACTAATTATCACATAGCAGACCGAGTTGTCTCGACTTTACATGAAGTATAACATCCCTACATTACTAGCTCCCCTATTTTATCAAGTTTGGTGTTTGAATATAATCTCAGCTTTCATCATTATACCTTTCCATTAGTTAACTTTAGAATACTACTTTTAAGACCATTTTATAACAGATTAATATTGCTGGTTCAATTTCTTTTGCCAGAATATGTGCAAATGTGTAACTGGTGGCTCTCATACTTGCATGTTTTTCTTCTTGCCAGAAGATGTGTGAATGTGTAAATGGTGGCTCTCATACTTGCATGTTTTCCTTCTTGCCAGAAGATGTGTGAATGTGTAAATGGTGGCTCTCATACTTGCATGTTTTCCTTCTTGCCAGAAGATGTGTGAATGTGTAAATTCTGGCTCTTGTAGTTATATGTTTTTTCTTGCCAGAAGATGTGTGAATGTGTAAATGGTGGCTCACATATTTACGCACTTCTCTATTGTTGTCTTCCAGAGGCTCAGCTGTGTGTCTGAGGGCTTATGATGTTAAAACTGTGTTTTTGGTACCCATGACAGGCACAGCATAATTGACCCATTGTGTAGCTCTGTGCTTAACAACAAACAAACAGACTCTTGGACCAGAAATATGAGTGTTTCTCTTGTTGGCAGATGATCTGTCTCAATGCGTAAACTGTGGACAACATATTTACGTGTTTATTTTTTTGTTAAGAGAAGTAAATAGCTTATATTTTAAAATACTTATCATAAACAACCATCAAAGAAAACAGGAGATGATCTGAGGTATACTGTTAATATAAATGGACAAAAATAGCACCTATTTCAATGTTTAGAGTACTAAAATACATTTGTAAAATAAGTTGTTGATTTACTGTGATTTCAAAAGGATCAACCTAAGATCTATATATGTTATTGAAACAGAACTTACCAGCATGATGTAATATTTTTGAATAAGGACTGATACAATCCTGAGCAGCCTCATGGTGATGGGAAAGAAGGGTTTATCAGAGGCCAACACTTGCTGGCTGGCCAGCTGAACACCTGGCCGATACTTGATGTTTGGAGAAAACAACTTGATGATCATTGGACATACTCTCTCTTTCAGTAGAAAGCTGAACTCAGAATGCTATATATAAAAGAGCTGATCAACAGAATACCAAACATAATGTACAACAGCACCAACTCTACAAAAGATATTCTCACAAACCAAGGGTGGAGTTCCATTGTTACATCATAGCGTCTCATAGTTTGTAGAAAATTCTATGCCTCAAGTGGGTAATATATATATATACACACATATATTTTAGGTGACCAAGTGAGCACAAGTTAAGTCAGAAAAAGTGAAGTTAGACTGTGTGATTGTTAGTTTATCTGTAACAGGCAATATTTTAAAGTTAGTTTCACAGTTTAACAGAGATAAGGAGAATAATTTGTCTTGTCAAAGGGTGTTCT